ACCCTGATATTACGGAATCTAAATTCATCAAGCGATCCTCGAAGCTCAAAAACATATTGACTCAGCAAGTGATGAGACTAGATAAGAAGGATGGAAATTCTAGACTCAGACTGATGAATATAACCTTTCCATCCCTCGTATGGCGGCTGCAACTCTGGAAGCATTTCATGCCAACAAATGTCGGTTGCCAGCTGGAACCCATATGCATCCGGGTAGACCACACAACTTCAGGACCAAGCACAAAGGCAAATTGTAACTGATCATTCCACTTGTGGACTGTCTTGATCATGAAAAACGTGAAAAGGACAGAGGCTGCCAACTCAAATAACCTTTCATAGTTAGGCTACCTGTCCATTCACGTACGGCTCATAAAGACTAAGATGACGGGGATGCTCCCGCTTTTCAAATTGAAAGCATAAACTGCTTATACATGAACACAGCGAGTTTACCTAGTAAAATGGAGGGGCTACATGAACTCATAAATGCTAATAATCCTCATCTGATAGGTGTATCCGAAACTTGGATATCTTCTCAGCTTAAGAACACGGAGCTAGCAATACCCTGGATGTCTTTGTTTCTCAATGGCAGATAAACAAGAATAGGGGTTGGAATAGCCTTATACATACGATCATGCATGGAGGTACACCAAGTTCACAACCAAGAGTTTATTAATCTTGATGAATTCGTTTGGTGTTCAGTAAGATTACCTGTAGTGGCATTGGGCCTTAACTACACAATCCTCGATGCTGAACACAAGACACTTGAGAAAATGGGTGTTCAACATTTACCGCGGAGAACATCACAACGATGGATAAAACGGGAACAATGAATTGAATTATTTCGAGTTGATTGGATGGCATGGCTCGGTCATGCAGGCGTGGTCCCTGTTGGATGTTACCTCATACCTTTTACTTATATTAACTATATTGTTCTATCTCTAGCCTAAGCTTGTTCTCCATCATATATTGGCAATTGTTACGATATGATAAGTCAGTGTAAACAATGATATGACTTCCACGTAAGATCTTATGGATTAGGCAGCTATATTATGACAAATGTACAATTTTAGTTGAAGGTCGATTATTAAAGCAGTACTAATATCGTAGTAGACCATAATTATACAAGAATACAACATAGGAGCGACCTTTAGGTTGCGTTAAATTGACCATGGAATGTCCACCTATTTAGTAGGGTTGTAGATTAATGCTAGGAATTAGGATTTACAGTTGAACGTTAGTGTTCCGAATAATGTTTGATGTTTTCATCACGAACTGACATCAGGTATGATGGCAAAATGGTATTTAACCAAAAGAGTGAATGAATCTCACACCAAAATCCAAGATCTGCTAGCTTGAATGTGATTGGTTCGCCCCTAAATTATTGTCTTGCCTATTATTTAGTGACAACCTTTGATTGATTCCGTATTGGTTCTCCAAAACCACACTATTGATTGTCACTGTTTGATAAGTCAGTATAAACAGTGACGTGGTTTCCATATAAGATCTTGTACATTAGGTAGTCATATCATAGCAAATTCACAGTCTTTGGTTAGGTTTGTGATTCTGCTGGCAGAGATAGGTCTACTGGTACTAACATAGACCAAAATAATACGAAGTTCATGACATTAATCGCTGGTTCCAGCAGTTTAAACGACGACATTATTCCGTCAAAACAACTGAGTATCAACGTTTCGGTTAATAAAGGACAACCTTCGTACTCCTGTTTGATATTCACTCCAAACCCGTACCAACCTTAGCATATTTAACATTACACAGAGTGCTCGATAAAACCGGCTCCAACACAACTGAACGCTCGCCTAATAACTTTTCAGATTCCGATGTGTCTGAATGCAGAAGACCAACGAGCTATATTTTATTTGATTGAGCCAAATTACGGGACTATTGCGTACCTGAGATCAGTAAGAATATTTCCGGTAAGACAGGACTAGATATCTATATACAAGCGCCAACAGCTGGCAATCAAAAGTCAACTATAGCTGATTATCTTTCGCCGTGGCTTTGAGTTCAGTCAAACACGACTTCATCGGCAAAGTCAAAGAGAGAAGAGCCAGTCACAAAAGAAAAAAATTAAGCCTGGCTAAGCGAGTTCTGAGTAACTGTCAAAATACACGACAAGGAGAGAGACTAAATAAATAACAGTACCATCAGAAAGATACTTTGAATGCATTTTCATAGTGTTCTTTCTACTACAATAAATTTTTAAAAACGTCTCGAAGAGTGTTAATGGAATCGTCTTTCTCAAAAGGTTAATCTTCCAATCAGCTTGTATGCATAAATCTCCGCATAGCTACTTCTCAGATAAAACAACTCTCTCAGCTATCGAAAGAGTGAAGAATACCACTTCTTAATCACCCCTGCTGTGTGACACGTTATCAAGATGTTGTAATTCCCCTCATTATGAGGAGAACAGATTCGGCATTGTCGACAATGTGTCCAGGTTGAATTTCGATAATTACTTAACATAATATAGGTGACACGAGAGTCTATCACATTTTGCCTAAATGGTTTATTCACAAGTCTGATTGGTAGGTCTTCTCAGTTCATAAATGACACTTTAAACTTCTAAAGGACTAAATATATACTACTTGAAGACCAAGGTTGAAGCTCCCTACGAGTGCTACATTCGTCTCAGTCTCAAATGAAGCAAACTACACCGACCGAAATATCCTATCATTTGCACTTCAAACAAAAACTGGCATGTCCATGAATTTCATTCTTACGGTAGAGAATCTTGTGATAAAGAACAAAATCGCCACTCCTTCATCTTGATGGTGTGTGGCCTGTCATTTCATAATATTGTACATTATAAAAAGTGAACTTCGCCTGTAACAATTCTAAGGTTAATGCCAGTCCAAAGCGAAATGTAGTCTAGTTGTCGAGACTCACGAGGTGAGTACTCGTCTGAAGAGGAACTTAACAAGAAAGTAAGAGGTTTATGGTCAGTAAAAAGGGTAAATTCGCGGCCTTATATATGGTGTTGGAAATGCCGTACAGCACAATACACATCTGGGAGTTCCCTACCGACTGTGATGTACCTCGATTCAGCGTCTAGCAACCTTCTAGAGAAAAATGTCAAAAGTTGTCAGGAGTGGTTAACCCATTGTTGTAAGACTCCTCCGATTGCTTAGTCGAATGCGTCTACTGCGATACTAATGGGCACTTCGGTGTCCTGATGAGCAAGCATTGTTGCTTGAGCTATAAGTTTTTTAACCGTGGAGAATGCTTTTCGCGCGGTGTCATCCAGCTTGATGGATTTTGTATTCCCACGGAGTTCGTCGGTAAGAGGTTTCATAAGTAACGCGCATTTCGATTTGAATCGTCTATACAAACATACGAGGCCGGTAAACGTTCATAATTGCTTAACGGTGATCGGTTCTGGGTAATCCAGAATGGCCGCCATTCTGGTTCTATGGGGTTGGATGCCTTGCGCATCTGTAATGTGTCCTAGGAAGTCTAATGAGTTAGTTACGACCCCGCATTTCTGAATGTTTACAGTAACGCCATGTTTTGTTGTCGGTGGAAAACAAGATCCAGATGCTTGAGGTGCGATTCTCTATCCGGGCTTGCTAATAAGCAGTCATCAACATACGCATGTACGAAGTTGAGACCTCGAAAAACATCGGCTATGAACCTTTGGAATGTTTGTGTAGCGTTTCCTAGACCATAAGGCATTTGCGAAAATTCGTAGAGTTCAAAGGGAGTTATGATAGCTGTTTTCGGAACATCGTCAGTAGCCATGGGGATTTGGTTTTGGGCTGTAACCAAGTCGATTTTCGAAAAGATAGTTGAACCCTACAAAGTAGCTGTCAAATCATGAATGTGAGGCAACGGGTAACGATCGTTAGAAGTTGGTTTAAACTTTGTCTTTCAGTTAGGTCTCCGCGTTTAAGGAAAGATCATTTCAGTGTTTCGTAGGGTTCAGTAACATCATTAGTAAACATAGTAGGGGTTACGTACCTGTTGAATTCGCGCGGTAGTGCCTTGACTACTGCGAGGAATTGTGCACGTGTGTCGTTCACGCCGTGCCTGTATAACTCAGCTTCTGTGTAGAAGAACCAGGCTTCGATGTTGTCTGGTCAGAAGGGCATGAGTTGGAACGAGGGTGGGGACATAGTCTTTAAATTAAGTACCTTGGGTGTTTTTTCAGTCATAGTGAAATATCAAGTACGAGAATGAACTAGTGAAAAAAAAATATACATCCAAAAACACGGAACAAATATCACAATGTATAAAAACATAAAATATCGCAACGATATATAAAATCCCAAAAAAGGGACAGACTTACAGTTTGCAATTTGGCGTAACAGATCACGTCGGGCTCACCAATGAAGATGACACAGGTATTTGTAGTTTGACAGTGCTTTGACTAGTAACACCTTCTAATATGAATCGTATCCATCAAGTGAAATCAAAAGACAGAAACGAGGAGGTTCGAAGATATATTTGATAGGTTATCAATATATCGAAGAAGTTACTGGTATAAACTGGCTAGCAATTGCAGGGTTTGTTGAGCACGGCGTTCCAACTGGTGATCTGATGCAGATGCCTGACCAAATGCTTTCAACTAGGTGAGTTTATTGAAACCAATGCTGTCAGCATTAAATTTCGCAGACTTACAGAGTTGTTTATTTTGGGGATTTATTTACCGCTGCATCACCATCAGACAATTTAAATGGGTCCAAGATATACAGCGAATAACTTTGGATTAATTTACTTCAAAAACTGTTGGAAGTATTGTTTAGGCATTCATAACATTCAGCTCTACAGACTACTAATCTTGAACAATAATAACAAAATTTAAGTTCTATCAACCACTGATATCACTTAAGATCGAGATCGGTATTTCCAGAATTTAAACATGTCAAAAAAGAACTAACAATAAATTTAAAAGAAAATATAGCAAAGGATCGTGAATTCGCTGACCGCGAGCAGAAAACTGTGTAAAACTACCTCGAGTAAAGCATTATTTTCAAAAGTCTGCTTTGTTTTCATCCACCCAAGGTCGTTGGTTCAGGTAATTACGAAGTTGGGCGTGTAGATATGGTAAAGGCCACGGAGACTGATGGTGCCAAGCACAAGCAAAGACTCAAACGTCCAGGTCGACTTTATGTAAAGGCAACATTTACAGGGTACCGTAGAGGATTAAGAAATCAACACGAGAATACGGCTTTATTGCGTATTGATGGAGTGGTAGAGAGGAAATCTACAGAATTCTACTTAGGAAAACGCTGTGTTTACGTTTATCGAGCTCAAAAGTAAGTCATTTCTCGAGAGTCATCTGTTTTTTTCATAGAAAGAAGGTCTTTCCAAGAAGACAAAAGCCAACAAAGATAAGAGTTATTTGGGGAAAGATTATGCGTCCTCACGGTAATAGTGGTGTTGTTCGAGCTCGATTCAAACATAATTTACCGGCATCCGCTATGGGCAAACGTATTCGAGTCATGTTGTACCCTTCACGAGTATAATGAAGTAAACGTGGTTGGTCTCTGATAATTTTGTTCTGATGACTTCAAGTCTGATTAGTGCATGGTGAAATTCAATAAGTGAACAAGGATGTTTTTATCATGTTTTGTAGGCAATGTACGATTAGGGTGTTCTGTGATTTTGGCGACAAAGTTTTTTCAGTTGACACCAATACCTCTACGTTAGTCGTTAAATAAGGCTTCAAATATATGTCGGTGTTGAAAGGTTTAAATAGATGATATGGTAGGAAAGTCCCTAAATAGTGATTGCTTTTGGGTTAGTAAGGTTTAGCTTAGTGTATTCGGTAATTTCCTGTCATAAACAAAAAATAAGTTCATTTGTAAGTATTTCACCGTGGACCTTGACAACTGCGACTATGCCACCTGTATGTCTACGGGAATATTTTCGGTTCACCTATTCCCTCATCATTTGTCAGCTTTAAGATTACAGGAGTAGGCTTCAGCTGGTTACCCTAAAGAAATATCGGGGTTGTCGGACGGACACTACATGCAAATTTAGCAGTTTTATCATGTACGTAACTAAAAGCTCTTCATACTGATTAGAGGGTTCAGGAACTTTTTCTGGTCATTACACAACAGGCGCGGCATTTTGTAAGGCTTGACCGGCAGCGACTTAGATCAGTGTGTAGCTCGATCTACCCAATTTATAGACAAATTTCAGACCATTCAGATGGCTTTTATAACATTCCGAAGCTTTGAACGATCGTCTTCGTTATGTATCCTTCCATATTTTGTTATGGTCAACATATAACAAAGCTGGTAGTGGTAAGAGACTTGCATTCTAGAAGAATAACACTAGGGACTCGACTGAGAATAGTTATCTAGTGAGACAGCTTGGAGTAAACCCGTACTCTTCGTTGGTGTCCCACTGAAAGTAATTTATTTACAAATCTATATCCCACTTCTCCCGAAATCACTTAATGTGGGTGGTAACCTGTCTAGTGGGGTTACTAACATTCCATGCAAAGTCGGTAAAAGCGCCACCTGTTCATGCCTTTCGACCTTTCAAAGTACATCAACGCTCTTTTGGTACTTGTAAGTTAGGGATACAGGATAGCCTATTGCGAGACCGTACTGCTTTCCAGAGACAGCCATATATTCCATCTGGATACTCAACTAATGCATTGCAAGTGGTCTTCACTACCAACTTGAGAACTATGATAGTTGTACTTGCAGGACAGTATTTATCTTGTGCCTGCTCCGAAGACCGGTTACGACAACGTTAGTGTGTGCCTTATTTCGCACATGGTATATATCCTCAGAGAATTTGCAATGAAGGTAACGAGTTTCCTTAATTACATGGGATGCATTTCGTCGAGTCTCTTGGATTTCCCATGGAGTTTATTTAATGGACCGAAGTCATCGTTGTATTTAATGGCCAAAGTACCTAAAGTATGGTTAGTGGGATTTATTATTACCACCATTAGTGTTTCTACTGTGTATGTTATTAAAGTTCTGTAAGTGCCTCAATATTTTATAGTCATCTATTGGCGACCCTATATGATCATTCATGCAATTATGGTATACTTCAAACCCTACCTATCCTGCAGTTTATGTTCGAAGAAAGACGTTTCGGAGACATTAGAATTCGTACACAACTTTGCCTCATTACTATCTTGGTTTTCATGGGATGTCTGTCAACCACAACGTAAAACCTGTACATATGTACATCGATTGAAGTTGCCATATCACACCACAGAGATGAAGTTGTCAGGACGAATCCCAGGGTAGTAGTAACAGTTTCAGTGGTAATAGCGAAGATCAGGTACTGAAGATACGATTCGAATGCAATATGTAAATGAGTAAAAATGGGGTTAGACATAGCGGATGCATGCACTCCATTGCCAACGACTTTGACCCATGTCATTCAAAATCCATAAACACTGGTTACTATAATAACGCGGAACCCAACCCGGCAGTGTACACCTATCACAACATGGCAGTAATAGTGACTGCGCGAACTGATGCCAAGTTTTGGTTTGGCCGCCCCTACATATCTTAAGAACTTCTACACCAGAAATAACGCCCTCCAAGATAGGCGGTGGATGGAAATACGCAACATACTCCTAAAGTACCTCAATTAATGAAGATTTACTACCTCATCAGTGGATTTTCCACATTAATAAAGTGTTTATTTCTAACCAAGATATTGTTCATAACGTGGTCCATAAATAAAAGACCATTGCTTCATGGACATATGAACAAATCATTGTTTTTGAAGGCTATCTTTCCCAGCCACAAAGTGGAATAGAGAGAACTGTCGCTCAGTATACTCGTCCCGTAGCTCAGATGGATATCTCGGCTTCATCACAAGTAGGCGAAATACAACATCTTTTTGGGTTCGTGACGAGGTTTCGTTAGACATCAAGACATCAGCACTAGTGAGACTACCAAGACCAGTGAAGTGACGATGAAAGCATTATCTCTAAAGGCATGTTTATGACAAAGTTAAATAAAAATGAAGCGAGCGGACAACACTTCTCGAAGAATCCGTTTCTGATGACAGTTCATCATAAGCTCTGACTCGACCAATAGTATTCGGGAAGAAAACCCTTATAATGTTAACCCAACTTTTTGGCACGCCTCGCAATGACAGGTAAAACCGATCTCTCCGTGATTATCAAAAAGGATTACTGTCCTTTCTTATACACTGGGACGAACAGTGATCGAGACCAGTTAGATATAATTATATGTAGTTTCCACGCTCTAGCGAGGACCTTAGTATATCTGGCAGGTAGAACTGAACCACCATCTTTAAAAATCCCATACTGCTATCCCTCGCTTTGGATAGTAGATATCACTGCTGTTTCTTCAACTTTCGGACAGCATATCAAGCTAATTCGGGGTCGATATCAGGTTCACGGATGACTAGCTCATTCTCTACCTGTTCCTGAAATATATTTTTAACTTATCCATCATCAAGTTAAACTCTAACGTGTTTTCTTGATGTGGCTTTTCTACATTCAGTGAGGCGCAGATATACGTGCTCGCTCGGCAACTGAACTACCTGGCATGGTAGGAACATGTATTCCACCCCATATAGTTCAGTTGGGGCGCCACTATGGGCGAGTTCGACGAGGACATCATTGTAGTAGCCACGATCGTGGTTGGACATGGCGCAAATGTCATCCGGCTTTTGACATTGATAATTAACCCTTTTAGACTTCCAGGGGCTTATATTCTTCCAGTATATTTCATTTTTACCAAGAGTAGTGCAAACTTATTTGTTGAGTGTGTGGCGCATATATATTTGTTGCCCTCTTGTACCGATATTTATGTGTTCAAATAAATAATTTGTTGAATATTAGTCGACTAGCTTGTGGTCTTCGTTATATTGTCAGTGTGCCATGCGTTTTTTTTAACTGCTATTCATAATCCTTTAAAAACTTCCCGACCGACGTTTATTGATGTTCAAACATCTATTCTTCTGAGAAAATTGTATGTCTATTCACTTTACACACGTTTGGTTGGATAGGGTCAACAAGTCATGCTTTGAAGCAGTGCACCGCGTAGTTACATTTACTCAGGAGGAGCGTGTAAATGATGTTGGCGACGTCCTACTGTTGGTGCACTATGCAAAGACAATTCTGGGTTATACCTCGCTTGACATATTTTATTTATCCAGATACCACTTTGTTTGATCGAGTTCCCTGTTAGCTCCATCCTTAATGTGCTTTACATGTGTATCGTTCATTTTTTGGGTCTTTAAACTCTTGGGATAGGAGTAGTTTAATCTTGATTTAAAATGAGGACAGATTTGATACATTTACTCAGCGGTTTGGCCTCCCTATCTTGGAAATTTAGCAAGGGTGTACTGTCTAAAATAATTGTTCTTTAACATACTGTAATGGCAGCAAAGCCCATTAGAAGCGGTCAGAAAAAAAGCAGCATTGTTTTGACCTCTGAAAAATCTGTACTGCATGGGTTCAGAAGATATTCCTGGAAGCTATTTTGTCTCTGGTTAGCAAAGGTAACCGAAAGCTTTTTAAGTTACGGAGCAAACACCTCAAGGTCGACATGATCGTAAATAACGATTCAGTTCCTTCTTCAGGTCTGTCATAGATAAGTATTCCTACATAGTGTTGACAGCCATGAGGCGCCAATCACTGGTCACTTAACAGCACTTGAGTTCATCTAATTCTCAATCGAACTTTATCCTCGCTTCTTGATGCATCGATTATCAATCTTTCTAATCCATCTATATACATAAGGACCTCTAGATTGGGTTTCAGTTCATATCCACTTGTTTTACTCCATATTAAAGAACGTGATACCTTCGAAGTATGGGGGAACATTCTATTGAATCTTCAAAGTTCCTGTTAACGCTCTCACCAACTGCAGTTAATATGGATAAAAAGACGAGCTCTACTAAAAGCCTCTGGATATTCAGTAAGTTAAACTGCCAGATATAATAGAAGTGAGTACCTTGAGCTCGCAAATAGGTAAGTTAAGTGGATCTGAAAGCTATATAGGGGGGTTCTTTTGCCGATTCTACCGATCGAATAGATAATGGCGGCAGTTTGCTTTAATTATGCCCGGAAGTCAATTAGGTACACAGTTGTATACACTTTTCACATTTGAGTCTTGATTTAACTGTCGTTCCTAAACATTTCTTTATTGTTATCGTCTATCCCTTTCAAAGTATATCTATCATAACAATTTCTATTGCATCGAAAATTAATTCTCCTGATCGCCAATATCGGGGTCAATTACTGTCTTAAACATATTCCATCATATTAAATAAGAATTTTTGATAACTAGAAGTGTTTCCTAATAAAAAAATCGAACTGTTCATAACATGTGTAAAATATTAGGTAAAAGATTTCAAAATAGGTTAAAAAATAATTAGTCAACATCTGTTAAAAAAACAAGTACGAAAAAGTGAACAATGAAAATTTTGGGTATGAACTATCAATCATAACTCTAAAACAACAGAAAGGAAATTAATGACATTATCATCGAAACAAAGATAAACGATGAAAAAAAAAACAGATCTAGTGAAAGAACAGCAGTAAAATCAAGTTTGCCAAGTGGATATTTATATATCACTCCTCATATATATGTGCCATAAGCGCACGCATGAACTGTGCTTGTGCTCTTAGTATGGTGGAAAAGTCTTCGATTCGTTCCTCTGCAAGAGAAATGTGGGATGTCAAACAGGTGATATGTATATGGCGTTTAGTTTTTAACGAATAAAATCGCTGAATATACAGAGAAATAGATTTATTTTCGAATATTACAAAATAGTTGTGGCAATGACGATATAATATGAACTATAGATATGCCCTTTAACTTGTAGGTGAAGCAGTAATTGTTAGAATTCCATTTGTGGTTACGTGAAACTTGACTACATTCTTTCAAATAAACAAGGTGGGAAATGAAACGCAAATATCATTTAAAAAATATTACAACTATATATATATCAATAACATTACGCTAATTCATAATTGTCAACATCATGTGTAGTCATATAATGAAATAAACTACATATAGTTGATGTTATCAGATATATCTTAGTGTAATGTTATACAATAAAAAGACTACTACTATGAAATCCTTTATGACTAGACTAATCTGAACATCAAAATTGATCAGCATTGCGGAAACTAAGTACTTTAAGGCTTCAATAAACTTAGCAATAGCTTACGATCGTCAGCTTAGATTTACTGTTCTATGAAAGCTAATTAACCCTTAAATTTTCATGTTACTAAGACAAGTTCTAAATGTTCAATATGCTAGAAATGTCAAAATCTACAATTGATTTAGAAAAAGAACAATATGTACATAATTTTTTGATATAATTGTCTCTGTCTGCACAAAATGTAGCTGCTTACATCAATAGAATTAATTTCTTGAAGTGATTGAGAAAATAACTTCAGAAAAAAATGCTGAACTACTTAAAACTATTGGAAAAATGAGTTCTTATTTTAACTTGTTTAATGAATTAGTAACAAATTAGTATAATCAAATTTATGAATATGGAAGGCTACAAATGATGAATTTTAATACAAGAGGTATACTTTCAATGTTACTAAATAAAGTTTATAAAAGCTAATACAAACCCGTTTAAAACAAAATAAAACAGAAAATTTATTAACTCACCTAGTTCATCAGTTTCATACAGATCGACTATAACGTCTTGAAAAGATCGAGCTAACTGATCTAGAAAAGCAGTTCGATCTTTTTCTCTTGTGGCTTGAAATGTAGCACTGACAAGTTTAATAAGTTCTGTTAACTTTGCACGAATTTTCACCTAACCATAGATTAAAATATTAGGGATTATTATAATAATTATTGCGTAAATATGAATGGGCTATATATGGTGTAGTGTATTTAAATGTCTAACAGATTTAAAGCTGCAGCCCAAGTTTACTTTTCCTTTATGTCTATAGAAAGACAGCGATATAAAGTTGTAACAACACGCATCTGTTGTAATACGTAAAGATATTGTCTGAAACAGCTGAAGTTCATCATCAATCCTGAATTTTGAGTCGATATCTCATGGAAACAGTATCTACGTATAAGGCTTCCCATATTTCCTTTTGTTTATCGACATGACCCTCCAGAGAAAAAGTGGAAGAATAATACTGTTTGAAACCCTAGTTTTTTGTACGAAGTACCTAACCTTCACTACCCTAATGCCGTCACTGATCATTTCAGTTTCCACAACCAATATTTAGACTGCAAGAAGGACACTTTGTAGTTCTCAAAACGGTTCAGTTCTTTAGATAATTTTAGGTTTTAGATTTTCTGAAAAATAATAGTTAAGTATTAATGTATAAAATCAAATATACCTGAACTAAGCATAATGAAGTGAGAGTGACAGCAACTTCAGCAGTTTTTCCACTGCGGGCTTTATTCGTCACAGAAAGTAACGCTATTTCTGGTCCTACAAAGAAAAGACAATAAATACAATGGCCGATAAAGTTAGACTTATTCCTAATCAACTGAGACGGATTGTAAACAGACTACAAATAAAGATGAGTGACCCATAAGGAATATACCATATATATACAAGCGTATTCTTTTAAGTTGTAGAAATATTACAGAAAAAACTGGAGATATATAGACTGAAATATACCGGTGTAACGCATCTCCGAATATCAGTACAATGGCGAGAGTCGGAGAAGCCTCTCAACGACATCGTTGAATATACTTGTACGACAACTAAACACACTTCAAACTTATTATTAATAAATTTCTATTATCATAGTTGAAATCACGAGTCGATCTAAGCTAGAACACCAGTAAAAACCTGGAAGTACTGGACGGGCATTTCGTCCAAGTATGGAACTCCTCAGCAACGCGCATCCACAAGGAGTCTCATACTAAGACGAAACGGCCGTCCATTGTTTTCAGTTGAGGTACAACTTAGATCGACTCGTGATTTCAAATGTGAAGATACTACAATCTCTACTAATCTCCATACTGATAGGAATTTCTATTAGCCTGAAAAATATATGTTGTTACAAATTCGTAATCATATTATCAGAAACTTTACATATAAATGACATATTTCATACAACTAATTTGTTACACTGTTGTATAGGGTAGTAAGTTAAGTTGGTATATCTTTTTTAAAGGGTTTACAATTCAAGTGTGTACGAATTAGAAATGAACAAATAATTTACATTAAACAAAAAAAAAAAAAACACAAACCCGATGTATGCAATAGACACGCAACATTTTCTGCTAACCAATCCTCGGGTGTTATTGTAATTTGATCAATTATATTGATGATATCGTCAGGTGTCCATAAACCAGAATGAAACATATTTGACAGGACACTTCCAAGCTCTCCAAAACAAGCAGATAATTGTTGAGAATCAGCAGCTGTATTTTCACACATTGTACGCCACATAAGATTCCCTAGTGTTTAAAACAAAATACTGATCATTTAAGAAGCATCAAGAAACTTAAATGCGAAATATTTACGTTAAATTTAAAAAAAAAAGTGGTTGAAAATAAAGATGCCCTTCTTAAGTTCTATTAAGGGTCGGGTTGAACGGATGGATCTACAGCTAATCAAAACAGTATTTGCAATGATTGACCATATTGGTTAAGCTTATTGCAGAATGAGTTTTCGTAAAACATTCAGAAAAGGCGTGTGGCTGATATTTCATTTGAGGATAAAACTTTTTATTTAGAACAAGAAATGTGAGGTCTGGTCATAACGCAAATAATACTGTGGGGAAACAGTTTTATTGTTCCCATAAAATGGCCATTGTTTTCTCTATAATTTATACATCTGTGGTAACCACTTTCATATAAAATTGTCCAGAAATAGTTTAGCTGGTATGGAAGCACTACAAACGGATAAGCAGAAGCAACACTTCCATCTTTCATTTTGTTTTATCAATAGTAGGTCTTCTGGAGCAACTTGTACTCAACAGTCCTAGTGATATTATTCGACGATTGTAAAAATGAGTTGAAAAAAAGATACAGATGTAGTTTTCGTTTGCCTTTGGCAATCTGCTGACAGTCACTGAATATGTCCTACATTTCGTTAGTGATATATTGTAACTCATATGTATAGGTACTTCCGTTAAATTTACTGACATTGTTTTCAACAAACTAGGGTTATGAATGACTCCCGCATTATCAAAACACTCTTTTGATCCACGTAAAATATTTTCTGAATACTATTGGTTTTTTCAATTAACAAATATTTATAAGGCTGAGAAATTTTAATGTCGAAATTTCCAAACTTTATTACCAGTGTATGAATACAAAGTACTTATGATGAGAATATAATGAAAATTTGTTAGAAATTTTTAATCGTTTACAACTGCTACCATCCTATTAATTACACATATGTATATAATTTTCAATGAATATTAAAAAAATCCCTAAAGTTAGTCTTCCACGGGAAAGTTGTTTCTTGGATATTTTCAGATATAATCTCATAATACTAATTTTTATGATACACAGCTAATAGAAGATTTAACAGACTTAACAACTTAAAACTGACTAACAGAATTACCTCTATGTAGTGGTCCATACAAAATAAATAAAATTCTAGCTTGATGAGTGTACGAATAAGAATGGAGAATCTTCATCAAAGTGTTTGAAGCTGGCCAGAAATAATTATTTTTCAGTTTACTCGAGGAAGCTGATAAATTCTGCGTGACCAGGGTTGGAAGTGATGATAACGAAGATCCTGCAACACCACTGTGAGTAATAAATAGTAGATTAATAATACTAAAGTGTAACAGAACCAACTTCCCAAAATAATTATAATATCATTATTCTAAAGAGGTGAACTTAGATTAACAAAAATGTCCGGTAGGCATTAGTGTTAACCATCACAAAGCAAAATGGTGAATTAAGAAATATACATGCTAGACTGCAATTCCTGATACTAGACGATGATATATTTTACAAGAATTATTAACGTAGTAGCTATGAGAATCAAAATGCCGTTAGGATTAACTTGGTGTGTATTGCTGAGTTGAAACATTTTACGTCTCTCCTAAAGCTAAGTTCCTAATTTTATGCATAAAAAATACTGTTTTACTAATCGTGGATAGATGGAAAAGATTTCAAATTATACAGTTATAATAAGTGGTCAAATTACTTAATTTTCAGTCACAAAGTTTCAGGTTTCAGCCCTGCTCCATCTACTCCACTTTGAGCTGCTGGGTGGAGTCATTAGCCTTAACATTTAGAGTGTGATCCATACTCGAGTACCTGGAGAATCAGTTGATTTCAACAGTAGCGATGGAAATATCAAGATGGCAGATATTACCTGAAATATTACATGACAACCTTCCAGAAAGAAACTGGGACCAAAGACAAGACTACCAACCAGAAGCATAGGCTTCCTATCTAAAAGATCAGTATCACAATTGATTGATCACTAGGTGGTGATCAATGTCACGTGTATCAAGTCTTTCTTAGTGCAGATCGAATGCTATCGACCAAGTTGAAACGTGGCCGTTAGTCTATTTGATTCGACATT